AAAAACCCCCCCCCCCAGCTGCAGCAGCAGCAGCAGCAGCAGCAGCGGCAGCAGCGGCAGCAGCGGAGCGCTGCAGAGGCAGGCCGCGTCATCTCTGGCCCCAAGCCACTTGCTGCGGGGACGTAAGACCCCAGTGGACCACTGGTCACCTCGCAGCAGCAGCAATGGGCCACTGGGGCCCTTAGCGCAGCAGCAGAGGCCGAAGCCGCACCTGCAAAACGAGGGCCCCCAGCAGCGCCAGCTGCTGCAGCGGGAGGGCCCTGAGCTCAGAAATGTCTGCTGGCCTTGCAGCAAAAGCAGAGACAAGAAACACTTTGGAGCTGTCCCAGCTGGCTGCAGCAGCAGCAGACCGCGCCTCAGCAGCAGCAGCAGCAGCAGCAGCAGCAGCAGCAGCAGCAGTCCCGGGGCCCCCGGGGGCCTCCCTCAGGGGCCCCGGAAGACTCCCGTCTTTAGCCCCCCACCCCAGCGCCGAGGCTCCCTGGAGCAACCCCTCGGGGGGCCCCCTGGGGGGCCCCCCAGGGGGCCCTTCGGGAGGGGCCCCCGGGGGCCTTCTGGGGGGCCCCCCGGGGGGTCCCCCGGGGGGCCCTCCTCGCTCCCAGGGGGCCCCCCGTCTCTCCAGAAACACCAGGGGGGCCTCCGAGACTGCGCAGCAGCAGCAGCAGCAGCAGCAAACCCGCAGCAAAAGGGCAGCAGCAGCTGAGGGGCCCCTGCTGCTGCGCATGCACTTCGAGTGTACAGACACCTCAGGGTGCAGCAAAAAGTCCCGAAAAGGAAAAAGACAGAAAAAAGAAATAAATAATATTAGAAGAAAAGAAAACAGAACAGCAACAAAGAAAGAGACTAAAGAAAAAGAAATAAAAGCAACAAAACTATTTGCAACAAAGAGGAAAGAGAGGGCCCCTGGGAACAAGCAAGAAGCAGCAGCGCGGGGGAGAGCCACAACAAGGGTTTAGGGTTTAGGATTTAGGGTTTAGGGTTTAGCAAACCCTTCGCCCTAAACCTCAAACCCTAAACCCCAAACACTAAACCCCAGACCCTAAACCCCAAACCTTAAACCCCAAATCCAAAACTCCAAACCCTAAACCCTAAACCCTAAATCCTAAACCCTAAACCCTAAACCCTAGAAAGACCAGACCGCCCAAAGTGGGCTCACGTTTTGCTGCTGTTATTAAAGTGCCCACTGCAGCAACACAGCCCAGAGTGACGCTGAGGGCCCCCCCCACGGCCAGCAGCCACAGCAGCACGCCAGAGGAGGATTTTCCCTGCAGCACACAGCAGCAGCAGCAGCAGCAGCAGCAGCTCCTGCTGCCTTCTGGAGGGCCCCACGCGGTGCTGCTGCTTTCCCCGGATGGGGGACCCGGGACCCCACAGGCTAGCTGCGCATGCAGAGGTTCTGAGGAGGGCTTTTTGCTGCTGCTGCGCTTACCCCTGGGGCCCCTTGGGGGCCCTGGGGGCCCCCTCCTGGGGGGTCCTGGGGGCCCCCCCAGGGGCCCCCTTCATGAGGGGGCCCCCGGAGGCCCGAGACTTTCCGGCAAAGGGGGGGCCCCCCAGACCCCAGCACCAACTCTTCTTGCTGCTTTGCTGCTGCTGCGGGCCCCTCCCCCTCACCCCCGGGGCCCCCGGGGCCCCGGGGGCCCCCAGGG